AAGCAGAGGCCCTGGCCTCCCCAGGTGAGCATTACAACTGGCAAGGCATGCGCTTCAGCATGCAGGGTGCACAGTCCAGCCTTGCAACCATACTGCCTGTTTAGCTAACATGTTCACTATGCAGGATATTATGGCCTTCGTGGCTGAGATGTTTGCAATGCAGGAGCTGCCTGATGCCAGTCCAGCATTCACTCTGGTTTCGGAGTGTCTCTTTGTCTCTCTCTTTGTCTCCTTTCTGTCCTTTTGTGTATTCTTGATATATATGAATCGCCGTCAGGTATCCTCTCCTCATGAACTGAACCCCAGTGTCGAGGCGGGTCCCCGACATCTGTATATGTATGATGTGTGTGTGAATGCAAATGTGTTGAATGTGTGCATGTATGCAAATGTACATATTTATGCGTGCATGTGTACAGGTGTGAGTGGCGCATGTGTGTGTGTGTAGGAAGGTGATAACTACCTGACACCCAAAGGGCTATTCTTCCAGGAAGGTATCTGGAAGTCCAGTGAGACAGGACCAGAGTCAGCCAAAGACTCTGGGGTAAAATCTTTGGAGACGTATTCAGGAAATGATATGGAGCAAGCAGAGGAGCCGGGCCGGAGGGTTGAGGAGAATCAGGAGGGGCAGGGCAGGCAAGTGCAAGCTTTAAGGAAAAGGCACCATCAGCAGAAGGGAGCTGAGACAATAGTGACATCAGACTTCTCCATCTAAACAGTTGTCACAGGCAGGACGCCAAAGTAGTATAAGGACAGGCTGAGGGAATGGGGGCCAAAGAGAAGACAGGAAGTTAGGGAGAAGGATTAAAGGAATGTTTCCATTGAGTTTTTAAGATGGAAGAAACAAGCTGTTGGTAAGATGAAAGGGAGGAAGAAAGAAGGAGAGGTGTTGAAGCCTGAGAAGACAAGGACCAAATGAGGAGGACCCTCTGCCTGGAAGGGAGCTGCACCCACCCAAGCAAAAGCCAGCAAAGCCTTGGGGACAGAAGTGCAGGTGGGCCTTCAGGGAAGATCTTGCAGCAGACAGGAAAGGCTCCTTGGGCAGAAGTACTATTTTGATCCAGGAAGATGGCACAAAGACAAGGCGTCTTAGGGACAAAGTGTTACATGTCAACAACTGTCCACTGCATCCAAGTATTCCCATGTGAAATATTTACTTCAAATGTTTATAGTGTGTAAATGTGTTTGATAATAAATCCAATAAGTATTTTAAACATGTAGCAATATCATTACATCAAACTTTGATTGGCAATTTAACACTCACTGCACATTTGTATCAATCACAGGTCAATCACAGAACAGTCATTCTTAAATACAAGTCAATTACTTTTCTTTAATGCATTTCAAAAATCACTGTCAGATATTTTATTTTGTAGTTTTAGACAGTACTTTTCCCATGTTCTTTAAAAACAGAAGCATGAGCTTTAAAAGAACTAAAATACAAATATTTACATACAATATTCTCTACAAGTTATTGTATAGAAAAAATTAACTTACAGTGAATAAATACCTTTATATACCAAGTAATATGTAGAGTATAAAAAGCCATTCCTATACATATACATATATATGTACACATTTATATGTGTGTTTGTGTGTATTCCAGAGTATAAATATACTATATATACTTAATATTTTGTGTGAAATAACATAGTATACTGCATTTGTGTTCAGTTTTGTAAACTGAAATACTTATGGCAGTGGGGGTCTCCCCTAACCTCCAGGGCCCCTGGAATCTTCTTTCCACTCCATGGGTACACACACCAGCAGAGTCCAACTTCACCATCCAAAGATGTCTCACACTGCAAAGATAAGACCCAATGTCAGCAGCAGCAGAGGCAAGGAAGCCAGCGACATTCAGGCAAAACCCTGGCTCCACGGAGCTGAGACCCTGGGCAAAGCAGATACCCTCTGCTCCTCATTATAAAGCATCAAATGCTGTGCTCATGTGGACACTTCCTGCCTGGGACCAACAGTGCCTGTTCCATGAGCAGCCACTGGTTCTCCTCTGTGATAAAATCGTACCTGGTCTTTAGGTACAACATCCACAGAGTCTGTGATTTGTTTAATCCTAAAAGTCTTCTCAAGAAGCAACATAGATGCTGCCTAAAAGGTAGCCGGGTTGTCACTGCAGGCCCCTGCGTTCCTTGACTGCCTACATGTGACCCTCCTGAAAAGAACTGCTGTATAATCTATGGTGGTTTGTTGTGCCTTAAAAAGACCGTGCAATCTTGACAATAGCAGTAAACCACTAATGCCAATGGATCCCAGTTCAATGAAGGGCGGCAGAGCCAGCAGAAGTACAAGTGAAGTCTCAGCTTCCTTTTGGGGACAATGAGTAAGAGGAACTAACTACTACTATATGAAATTATGTACACCAAAGCATTTGTCAATATAACAACTGGTCAATGTGTCTTTGACAAGGGTGCCCAGTGGGGAAAGGGCAGTCTTGTCAGCAAATGGTACCAGTACACCTGGATCTCTATGTGCAAAAGAATGAAGTTGTATCTTTCCCTTACACCATCTACAAAATTGAGCACAAAATAAATCGAAATAGGACCATAGACTTAAGAAGCATCTTGGTCAATTGGCATACTATAATTCATAAAGTTGATGCTCCATATTCTAATTTTGTGAATGGTGTCTGGGGTCTTATAAGCTTTCAGGCCGTCATCTAAGACACAACTATTAGTCTCTACATGTCCAGAACAAAAAAGAAAGAAGCCAAAGACTCAAAGAAGAAACTAGTTTATAGGACAAAAAACCTATACAAACCTATATAAACTACAGTCTCCCCTACCCTAAGACTAGAAGATGGTTCCTGGCTAAAACGAAACTAAACTAAAACTAATCAGGGTCAAAACACATGAATCCTGACAGCATGGAAGAAAAATAAATAGAACCTTCAAATTCTTAAAAAAAATTAAAACCCAAACCAGACTTATTGGACTAGTTGAATCTAGAAGACTACTCAAGATTACTGTCCTGAGATACTCATTACTTACAACAGGCAGAAGATGGAAACAAGGTCCATCAGTAGATAAAAGGATAAACAAAAGGCGGCAGATACATGCAATGAAATATTGTTGTTGTTAAGTGCCGTCAAGTCACTTCAACTCATAGCTACCTTGCAGTTCAAACTGACTTTGAGGTTGAATGCTTACCCTATGGTGCCCAGTGAAATATTATTCAGCCATAAAAAGGAGTGAAGACATTTTTATAGGTTTCACTGGTGTGGCATTGTAGGATAAACATTGGACTGCTAACTGCAAGGTTGCCTGTTTAAACCCACCAGGCGCTCGCTCCTTGGTACAGGTGCGCTCCTTGGTACAGGGTCGTTGTGAGTTGGAACTGACTTGACAACACTTAACAACAACAACATAGCTATATAGATATATAACATGGACAAACCTTCAAAACATGATGCTAAGTGAAATATGCTCTACATAAGATTATAAATATTATATGATTCAACTTATATGAACTATCTAGAATAGTCATATCCAGAGACAGACAGAATAGTAGCGATTGGAGGCTAGTGGAGGGGGTGGGGGGTGGGAGGGAGAAAAGTTGAATGAAGACTTACAGTTTAATAGGGCTAGAGTTTCTGTTTGGGGTGATAATATTATGAAATTTATAGTAATGACAGTCATACACACTCATAAATACATAAATTGTACTTAATTGTACCTTAAAAATGATTAAAATGATCAATTTTGTTAATGTATATGTAAACACAACAAAATAAAAACTGGAGGGAAAAAAACTAAGGACCTACTCAAAATCCACATCCAAACATGCTTGTTAAGTTAGGGTCCTAGTGCTTAACCCCAGATCTTCTGTCTCAAGAAGTTTTCCTCCACTGGCTGGGAAATGTTCTTGGGCTAGCTACCAGGGGGTGGGGACTCTTATTTACAATGAAAGCTTTAAGCCCCTTCTGGTGCATCTCTAGGACTAAGACCTTGGGGATCAACAACCATGGCTTTGTCAGGCTTGTGGGACAACCAGAGCTGCCCTCTTCCCATCAGTGAGGTTGACATACCTGTTTACTGTGGTAAAATCCATTCTTGTTGCAGTTTGGCAGATAAAATTTGTAAATTTCTTCTCCAGACTTCTGTTGAGCTTTGGCTAATCTCTCCAGTACTTTGTAGAGTTCTCTTTGGCATGGCTGCTGAAGGAAGAGTCTGACATTAGTATAAATGATGAGAGAAAATCAGTTATTAGTAAGAAATCACTGTAAATGAGGGTGGTTAAGGAGTTCGGGTAGTGTAGCGGTTATGAGTAGGGCTGCTAACCGCAAGGTCAGCAGTTGGAAACTACCAGCTGTTCCATGGGAGAAAGATGAGGGTTTATGCTCCCTTAAAGAGTTCCAGCCTTGGAAACCCTATACAGGGTCACTATGAGTCAGAACTGACTCCATGGCACATCACCACCAATCTCTGTCTTGAGTTGTCAAGATAAACAGGAATTTTATTCACCTACACTGTTATGGTGCTATAGGATAAGCACGTGACCATAGGTCGGTTTGAACCACCAGGTTGGCAGTTCAAACTCACCAGCTATTCCTCAGAAATCCTATATAGGGTTGCTGTGAGTTGAAACCAACTCTAGGGCACTTAACAACAACAACAAACACTGAAAGAAAGGTAGTTTAGCTGACCCGTATTAATTTTTCTTCTCTTGTCATCATTTCCAAGTGAAATGCCTGAAGTATCCAAAAAGGTCTGAAGTTCCATCTTCCACTTTTCTGGGTGTGTATGTTTGTGAAATTGTTTTTTTGGTTTGTTAAATCAACTCTAGTCACTCCAGTGTTTATTCTATGTCATCCTCAGGCGATAACACTAAAAAGGTCTTTAGTTAGGATGTGACAGGGTAGAGTTGAGGATGTGTGGATGGGGAGATCTTTGAGCTGAGTTTCCGGCCAGTTTAACTGGATGCTCTTTAGAAATGAACTAGACTGAGACCTTCATTATAGAGATGAGGTCGATTATAGAGATTCCTAAAGCTACACAGCAGGAATTGCACTATCTCTTTTACTTCAGTAGGTTCCTCCAAAGTCTGCTGAAAGTACTTGCACTAAAATGCTTGACAAAGCTAAGCTGAGAAGTGTCTATTATGCATTGAGATGAAAAGTCTTTATGTGCAGGGCTACAGGACCAGAAAGGAAGCCACCAGCATTCAACATGGAGAGAGTGTCTACCATTAGAAGGACCTCACCTTCCATTTTTTGATATCCTCAATCTCACGAGACTTGATGTTCTGATAAGTGTTGATGGCATGCCAGAGGATGGACCCTTCCTCACCAGAAGGAGCCATTAGGTGGAAACTTCCCGGTAGCTGCTCTTGTGTCGTCTCTATACTCTTAGGAGGCACGCTCTCTGGTTCTGAGGAATCCTTCACATCTGAAATAGAACAAGCAGGTCTTTGAGCTCTGCGCCAGCATCTGCACTGAAGTCACTTCTGAATGAGACCTTGCTTGTGCCCTCCTTCCCTCAAAACTGGGTTGGGGCACAAGAATGACCACATTAATCTAGACTGTTGCCAAATCTCTTCTGAATTTCTAATGATTTCAGGGAAGTGTGGTAACAAAAGCAACACCGATTCTGGTCTGGAAAAAATATGTCTCAGAGGCCTGCTTCTAAGGGTGGGGGGTGGAGCAGCATCACATTTACAGAGACAGTGGATAGTCCTTAAAGAAGACAGGGGTCAGTCACCCATATCAGACTCCGTTAACTGTGAGTCCTGGGAGCGTTACATATCCTGTTGAGACCACAGGTTCTTCATCCATAAAATACACACTTTCATAGTATCGTATGAATAAGCAAGGCAGAGTTCATTTAGAAGTAAAGTCTAGAATGCTGCCCTCCCAACTCACAGCCTATATACCCTTCCTTCCCCAGGGACCCTGCTATCCCACCTAACAAGTGATTCCTTTGTAACGCCTAGCAGAAGAAGAAAGTCACTAGATATCCTGCAGATCGAGTTCAGAGGTTTAGATTCAATGAGTGAAAAGAATCCTGGAGAACCTGCTATAGAAAGCAGTCTTCTTAGGGAACATTCTCTTTCTGTTATGGAAGTCATCCACTTATTTACAGAAAGTATTCTATTTACTCTAAAGGACAGAGACTGGAAAGCAAAAATGGGTCCCCTCCTTGGAAGGGTTACACATTCTATACCTATTCGGGGGGAGGGGTATGGAACCATGAAAATCCTTCAAAATTTCCTATGGGATCTGCAAGCAGCCCAAATGGGGAAGTAGAAAGTCTGGAGTAGGGGAGAGGTGTTTCCTTTGTTCCCCACAACAAATAAATTGCTGCTTAAATTCAGGAAATAACCTGTCAAGTTCTTAGGAGGTCACCACAACATGCACATCAAGTATTGGTTTCCTATGGCCACAAATGGAAGTGAAATGCTCAGTGTAAACTCTCATGTTATATCTGGGAAGTACATAGTATATTCACAAGACACATATTAGGAAGGACAAACTTGTTGAGGGTTGAGGAGGGCAGACAGCAGGAGAGATGTCCATCTCAGGTCTTCACTAAGACTTCAGCTCTGGGGCTGTCCACATGCCACAGACAGGAAGGGGGACATTGCCTTTGGCCTCTCCCTGCTGGGGAAGCCCCATTCTGCTTCCTCCGCTTTCACCCCAGGGACCTAAAGAACGTCTCAGTGTCTTAGTCACTGGACTGTGATATGTAAGATATGGTGTGGGTTCACTCCTCCACCGTCTCACTGAATTCACATGCCCCTGGCCTTTTCGTTCTATTCCCTTGGGAATCTCTGGATGTTTTGAACTCCAATCCTCTATAAGTTTAGGTTGAAAACTCAGATATTAGCAGAGTGAGTCCTTAGCTTGCCTTTGTTCTGAAGGGCCAATAAGGGATGAGAGTGGGGAAGAAGGGGTGCTTACTTGGAGCCTCTGTACTGCGGGCAGTCGCAGAGTTGTCCAGCGTGGGCATGCAGGCCCCCTGGCCACGGGTGAGGGCGTACAGGGGCCGAGGCTCCCCGGGCAGTGCACGGCAGCTCAGCCCGCTGCCACAGCGTGCGGTCTTCACACCGCATGCTGCGCCCAGCTGCAGGGCGCATGTAGGGCAGCAACCACAGCCGGCTGGCGGGGCGATTTCCTGGCACGAGGCGAGCACCGGCGGACAGAGCGCCAACTTCTCATCCGAGCAGGGTGCGCAGCGCCAGGGAGGGGGCGCGCCAACGGCCGCACTGAGGAGGGTGCCCAGAAGGAGTAGCAGCTTCCAAGCGAGGGTGGCCAGGGTCTTGGGCATTGCTGGCGGCTGGCGGTCACGAAGGGTAGCAATCGGTGGAGGCGAACTGGAGGCGGGTGTTGGCTGACGGAGGCGGCTGTCTAGAGGCTCAGTGGCTGCTGGAGGCTGCCGATGCTCAGTGGGTTCGGCGCGCGCCTTATGAAGGTGGCCTAACGCTCCACCGGTCGAGGTGCGGTTAATGATTGACAGCGTTTTGCGTTTGGAGCTGGGTACTATGAGTTTGTTTTGCTCTTTTTTTCTTGTGCTCAAGGCCCTGCGTAAACTGTGGGCGGAAAGAAGGTAAACGGTTTGTGTTTCTGATTCGTGTTTGTCCTATTATGTGGAACCAAAGTCCAATTCTTAGAACCTCTGCCAGGTAGAAGGGATGGCACTTGTTTTTGTGTCTAGGCTATCTCTCTGACCCAGATGGTCAATGCTTTTAGACACACCCAGGGAACGTGCAAGAGACAGCAACATCTCGCTCACCTAGTTTTTCCACGAATTTTCAGATGGGGAAGCCAAGGCTTCTCCCTCAGCAAGAAGGGACTAAAACCATGAACTCAGTTGGTTCCGATTCATAGTGATTCTGTGTAGGGTTTCCAAGATTGTAAATCTTTATGGGAGCAAAAAGCCTCATCTTTCTCCCGTGGAGCGGCTGATAGATTCCAACTGCTAACCTTGCTGTTAGCAGCCCAACTGGTAACCCACTACACTATCCAAGCCCCTTGCAGGGCATCCAGAGACTGCAAAAGAAATTGGTAGCAATGATTGTTGTTGTTGTTAAGTACCATGGAGTCGGTTCCGACTCACAGTGACCCTGCACAGGGTTTCCGAGGCTGTAAATCTTTCCGGGAGCAGAAAGCCTCATCTTTCTCCCGCGGAACCTCTGGTAGTTTCGAACTGCCGACCTTCAGGTTAGCAGCCTGATTCGTAACCACTACGCTACCAGAGCAATGATTACTTGGCGAAAAAGTATGAAACTGGACTAAAAGAGTCTTGCTTTCACTGTGTATCCTTTTATAACCTCTGAATTCACACTGTGTACTTACTTCACCTATTTTAAAAGCTGAAAAGTAAAATTAATCTGCTGACTACTTTTCTAGCCCTTCAGTGACTCTGCCACCTTGGACAAGCGACTTGACTTTGCCGAATGCATCGTAAGCAACAATAAAGCTAAGGTATGTAAAACTAAGTATTGTTGCAAACTCATAAAAATGTTTTCCATTCTTTATAATGTCAACACCTTTTTAATGTCTGGGTAAGGAAATGGCCAATGATTTGGAACTTTTAACACTTTTTTTTTTTGATGGGTTGTTACTGTTGTCCGGTGCTGTCTAGTCAGGTCTGACTCATTGCAACACAACAGAATGAAACACTGCCTAGTCCTACACCAGCCTCACAATTGTTGCTAATTTTGAGTCTACTGTCAATCCGCCTGGTTGGGGTGTTCCTTTTTGTCACTAACGCTCCACTGTACCACGCATGATGTCCTTCTCCAGGGACTGGTCCCTCCTGACAACATTCACTAAATGAAAGATGAAGTCTCACCATCCTTGTTTCTAAGAAGTATTCTGGCTGTACTTCTTCCAAGACAGATTGGTTTGTTCTTCTGGCAGTCCACAGTGCTTTCACTGTTCTTCACCAATACCATAATTAAATGCATCAGTTTTTCCATGTTCTTCCCTATTCATTGTTCAACTTTCACATGCAAATGAGGTGACTGAAAATAGCCCCTAGTCCTCAAACTGACATCTTTGCTTTTTAACACTTTATAGAGGTCTTTGCAGCAGATGTGCCTTGCACAAAATGTCTTTTGATGTATTGACTGCTGCTTCCCTGAGTGTTGATTGTGGATCCAAGCAGAACGAAGTCTTTGGCAGCTTCAATCATTCTTCCATGTATCATAGTGCTATTTATTGGTCCAGTGGTGAGATTTTTGGTTTCTTTACTTTGAGAGGTGCAATCCATACTGACGACTTTAGTCTTTAATCTTCATCAGTATTTTGAATCCTCTTAGCTTCCAGAAAGCCAGGTTGTGGCATCTGTGTGTTACAGAGTGTTAATGAGTCTTCCTCCCATCCTGACACTACATTCTTATTCATAGAATTCAACTTCTTGGATTATGTGCTCAGCATACAGATTGAATAAGTGTGGTGTAAGGATACAACCCTGGCTCACAGTTTTCCTGATTTGAAACCATTCAGTATCCCCTTGTTCTCATCTAACGACTGCCTCTTGGCCTATGTACAGGTTCCTCATGAGCACAATAAAGTGTTCTGGATACTCATTCTTCACAATGTTATCTATAGTTTGCTATGACCCACACAGTTGAATACCTTTGCACATGTAAGTATCTTTCTGCTATTTTATGTTTTCAGCCAAGACCCATCTGCTATCAGCAGAGATGTCTCTCATTGTACCCACTTGATTTTTTGGCAGCTTCCTGTCGATATACTGCTGTAACCATTTTGGAATGATCTCCAGCAAAATGTTATTTGCCTGTGATCTTAATGGTATTTCTGCCCTCCTTTAGATCACCTCTCTTTGGAATGGACATAAATATGGATCTCTTCCAATCAGTTGACCAGGTAGCTGTCTTCCAAATTTCTTGGCTTAGATAAGTGCGTACCACCAGCTGTGCCTCAGTTTGTTGAAGCATTTCAGTTGGGATTCCATCAGTTCCAGAAGCCTAGTTTTCTTTAGCTCTTTCAGAGCGAGAAATACTGAGCATGTTCGCCCCTTTTCATTTTCTATATTACATTTAATTATAATACTTTACTTTGTCTTCTTGAGCTGCCCTTCAAAAATTTTTGTTAAGCTCTTTCACTAAATCATTTCTACCAGTTTCTTTAGCTTCTTTACATTCAAGAGTTAGTTCAGAGTATCGTCTGTCAACCTTTTTGGTCTGTCCTTTCTTTCCTGTCTTTTTAATGATCTTTCGCTTTCTTCCTTTATAATGTTCTTGATGTCATCCCAAAAATGCTCTATTCAATCAATCATTAGTGTCAAATGCATCAAATCTGTTCTTGAGATGGTCTCTAAATTCAGGTGGGATAAGTTCAAAGTCACATTTTGGCTCTCCTGGACTTGTTTTCTTTTCTTCAATTTCAACTCGATGGTTTTTCCACAGTCTGGCACTAACCTTGTTTGAACTGATGGTATTGAACTTTTCCACCATCTCTTCCCACAGATGCAGTCAATTTGATTCCTGTGTATTCCATCTGATGAGGTCCATGTGCATAGTCATTTTTTATGTTGTTTTTAAAAAACATATTTGCAATGAATAAGTCTTTGGTCTTGCAAAATTCTATCATGTAATCTCCATCATCATTTCTATCACCAAGGCCACATTTTCCAACTACTAATCCTTCCTTTTTGTTTCCAACATTCACCTTCCAATCGCCAGTAATTAATGCAACTTCTTTGCATGTTTGATCAATTTCAGACTGAAGAAGTTGGTAGTATTCTTCAATTTCATCAATGAACTGGCTTAGTGGTTGATGCGTAAATTTGAGTAATAGTGGTATTAACTGATCTTTCTTGTAAGCATGTGGATATTATCCTATCAGAGACAGCATTGTACTTCACAATAGTTTTTAAAATACTCTCTTTGATGATGAATGTGATGCTGTTTCTCTTCAATTTGTCATTCCCAGCATAGCAAGTCATATGATTGTTAGATTCAAAATGTCCAATACCAGTCCATTTCATAAGACTTCTTTACAGTGTTGAAGAACAAAAATGTCAGTTTGAGGACTAAGGTGTACCTGACCCAAGCCAGGGTATTTTCAATAGCCTCATATGAATATGAAAATTGGACAATGAATAAGGAAGACCATAGAAGATTTGATGCATTTGAGGTATTGTGTTGGAGGAGAATATTAAAAGTACATGAAATGCCAGAAGAACGAACAAATCTGTGTTGGAAGAAGTCCAGCCAGAATGCTCCTTAGAAGTCAGGATGACCAAACTTTGTCTCTCATACTCTGGATATATTATCAAGAGGGAACAGTCCCTGGAAAGGGGCATCATGCTTGGTAAAGTGGAGGGTCAGTGAAAAAGAAGACCCTCAACAGGATTGGTTGGCACAGTGACAGCAGCAATGGGCTCAGGTGAGGATTGTGAGAATGATTTTTTTGTTCTGTTGTGCATAGGGTCACTATGAGTCAGAATTTCAGCTCACTAATGCCTAGGATATTGACCTTTATGTGTTCCACTTCATTTTTGACAACTTCCAGTTTTCTTAGACTCATATTTTATACATTCCAGGTTCTGATTGTGAATGAATATTTGCAGCTGTTTCTTCTTAGTTTGAATTGTTGCCCCATCAGCAAATGAAGGTTCTGAAATCCTTGTTCTATTCATATCAATAGATTAATTCTACTTTGAGGAGGCAGTTCTTCCCCAGTCATACTTTGAGTGTCTTTCAACCTGAAGGTCTCATCTTCCAGCATTATATACATCTGACAATGTTCCACTGTTTTCCGTAACTAGTCTTTCAGAAGTGTTCCATTTCTCCTTCTTCCTAAAACTTCCAGTTTTAGTCTGGAATTTCTGCTGAAGCCTGGCCACCATGGGTGAACCGGCTGGTATTTAAAATACCAGAGAAATAGCCTCTAGCATTGCAACAACGCATAAGCCACCACGGTATGCCAAACTGATGGTTGAGTAGTGGATTCTTGGTGTAGCCTCTAGGGCAGGGGAAGTTATTTCCAAAAGGAAAATTGCTGCTCTGAATTTTCTCATTGATTTCCTCTACTTAGTTCCTAGTGATGTAGCCCCTAAGAACAGTATCAGGAGGAAGTAGGATAATTGTTGTTCCATGGAGGGGATTGCAGTCATTGAGATGAAACAAATTGTTGAATGTAAAACAGATGATCTGCTCTGTAAACCTTCACTCAACTCACAATAAACAGTATCAACATTAAGTAACATTCCCAGAACTTAGAGAGTTTTCTTAATGAAACATTGGAAAGCTTCCTTTAGTAAATGTTCTGGGACCCCTACTGTGTGTCAGGAAC